AAAAAAAAAAAAAAAAGACTGCCTACATTTTAAATTAAACCATTACATTTCAAGAAAATGTTTATATTATCCAAAAATGCCTTCATGGGAAATCTTGACTTTTACCTTTGTGAACAATTACAATCATAAACCATGTAATAACAAAAGTTCCAACGTATAAGGAGTTAACTTGTAAATATGAAGGGGCAACAACCCATCTGGTCACACAGATTTCAGAAAGAGAAAAAAGCAATGTCCACAGCTGTCACGTGTATCATGCATACTAATAAACTGTGTGTTAATATCACAGTGACTGAGAACTACACTGAAGAGTTTTGTTTTTTTTTTCTTTTTTGATACAGAGTCTCGCTCTGTCACTCAGGCTGGAGTGCAATGGCTCACTGCAACCTCCGTCTCCCAGATTCAAGCAATTCTCCTACCTCAGCCTCCTGAGTAGCTGGGATTACTCACCCATAGCTTGCACCACCATGCCCGGCTAATTTTTGTATTTTTAGTAGAGACGGGGTTTCACCATGTTAGCCAGGATGGTCTTGATCTCCTGACCTCGTGATCCGCCCGCCTCGGCCTCTCAAAGTGCTGGGATTACAGGCTTGAGCCACCGCGCCCGGCCGTTGATGTCTAATTTTTAAGTACTCATGAGGTGATGGAGGAGAAACTAACTCAGATGACTACGATACATCTTTCCTCATAAGAAGTCCTTAAAGATGACGAAAAATGTGAAGCAACTCATCTGAGAAAACTGTAAGTGGTCAGAGAAGCAAGCTGACTTTTGGATGAAAGGTGCAACACAATGTCAGGGAATAGGTGATTTCTTTTCCCTACAGTTCACGGTAGTGATACCTGAATGGGTGGCACAAAATGAGTTCTGGCGTGTTAGACTGACGCTTCTCTTTGCTGCAGGTTTTGAACAAACTGCCTGGCTTACAGGGATGAGGGAGAGCACCTGACAATGGGTGGTGATGTGCGTGGAGCTCCTACCCTGAACATGGCTTCATGAGATGTCCCGTGGCGGGTCAATGCTTTATCTCATTCCATGGGGCCTTCAAGATGACAAGAAAATATCAAGAGATAGGAGCTTGAGATAACAACATTAAATAACAAAACATTTAGCAGGGTAAAACACTGAGAAGAAATGGATCAATTCATTGTTTCCTCCCAAGAGAGACTGTGACACTAGTTTTAAAAAGTGGCAAAGTTCTTTCTCTACATACATGCTTGGAGATACCCCAAGCTTAGAGATTCTGAGTAGGCCAGGAAATTCACTTATTGCACGATGCTTGGTAGGGAACAAATGATGTTGATTTTTTGTTTTTTAAACCGAACTCTCTCAAGAAAATGTTTTATGAAAAATTTCATTTATAGTTTTAGCCATAGGCAGGGAGTTTTAAGGGATGGAAAAGTTTTCACAAACTTTAGACAATGAAACTATTCTTTTGGATGTATGTGATCAACTCGACAGTTATTGACAACACAACCGAACATCAGAAACTAAACCAGCAAATAGGCACAAAATAAGGCAAGTGGGTTAAATAGTTGAAAATTGGTTAGAAAACATGCAAAAATAATACTGAGTTTTCTTTTAAAAAGTTTTAAACCATCATTAAATGTTTCTTTTTGTAGAAATCTGAAGAGTTCTGTGTCTGAATTTGAAATTGGACTTTATAAAGCCTAGAAAACAGAGGAGGCGGCACCCTGCCCTTGTCAGTTGTTGTTCTCTTTGGTGGTGATGGTTACCAGCTGCTTGGCAGCCTTGGCGATGTCGTACGCACACTGGATGACCTGCTGAGTGACCAGCTGGACGTCTGTGGGTGAGCCGGGGTCCCCTGGGAGGGTCTTTTTGCACTCTGACTGCAATCGGTAGGCACTGGACGTCAGTAAACGAAGGGAAGTCCTCACCATGTCAGACTTGGGTTTCTAAAAGGAAAAAGACAACCGTTTACCCTGAACTGCAGGGCAGACATCCAAAACCAGGGGACAAACATTCTTCTAAAGCAAACCAAGCTGCTCCCGGAGTGAAAGGCAGTTTGGTCCTGCCCTTTCTCAATGGGGTGCTTTACACACTCCAAGCATCACAGCCCACAGCGTAAGAGATGCTGAAATATTCTGATTCAAAGGTCAAAGTGCCTGCAGGGTAATTTTAGTAGTATGTGGTATTTTGAGGTAGTTTTTGAAAAATATTAATCCATGTGGGTAAAATATTCCAGAAAATCCTATAAATTAAAAAATTTTAAAATTTGCCTTTTAGCACATGACTTGTAGATCCTTGTCTTATTAAATCAGCATTCATGCAGAACAAAAATATTTCAAAGCTCTATACGACTGCATATTTTAAAACTGCATATGCTACAAAAAAGCTAATATAATATACAGGTCATAAAGAATTTCTTGCTGTTCATTTAAAAGGATTTAAACCAAGTGAGTAGCAAGTGACTTACTTTGGGGAATAATGCTGCCATTTCTGTAACAGCTACGTGTATCCTCTCTGAGCAGGGAATATAACTGCAAGAATATTGAAGAAGTTACTCAATGACAGCAAAAATGATTCGGAGGCAAAGAGTACTCAAGTGCTAGGACAGATTGTGTTTATATTCCCTTCATGAAGGGGCTGGTGCTGCAGCCAGCCAGCTGTGCATCCCACACCACCAGAGGGCACATGGTTATAAAGCAGGACTCCCATTGCTTCCTGAAAGTTCAATCTGCTGCAAAGCCTCCAGGTATGAAATATGGCAACATACACTCCTGATCAAGTAAGGCCATACAACAGTACAGAAGCATAATTCACCCCTCCTCATGTCCACTTCTCATGTGTTTCATCGTCCTGATTTCTAGAAAGAGAAAGGATTTCCATGCAAAAGGCCACAGAAGTGAAAAATAAAGGACTGAAAAAAATCCTTAAAATTAGAACTGGAGCCTCTCAATAGCCGGAACTTCAGGTATGCGCCGCCATGCCTGACTGATTTTAAAATATTTTTTTGTAGAGGAGTCCCACTATGTTGCCCAGCCTTGTCTTGAAGTGATTCTCTTGCCTCAGCCTCCAGAGTGCTGGGGTTACAGGTGTAAGCCACAGTGTCTGGCCCTTTCCCCATTTTTTAAACCATGAAGTTGGCTTCTGAATAGATTGTCATAAGCAACTTATGTACTTCACCTTTGTAATAAATCTAGTTTCAAAACTATTATAATTAAAACTGTTGGTTGGGCATAGTGGCTCACGCCTGTAATCCCAGTATTTTGGGAGGCCGAGGTGGGCAGATCACCTGAGGTCAGGAGTTTGAGACCAGCCTGAACAACATGGTGAAACCCCATCTCTACTAAACATACAAAAAAATTAGCTGGGCGTGGTGGCACATGCCTGTAATTCCAGAGTAGGACGCTGAAGCAGGAGAATCACTTGAACACGGGAGGCAGAGGTTGCAGTGAGCCAAGATCATGTCACTGCACTCCAGCCTAGGGGACAAGAGCGAGACTCCATCTCAAAAAAAAAAAAAAAAAGACTGCCTACATTTTAAATTAAACCATTACATTTCAAGAAAATGTTTATATTATCCAAAAATGCCTTCATGGGAAATCTTGACTTTTACCTTTGTGAACAATTACAATCATAAACCATGTAATAACAAAAGTTCCAACGTATAAGGAGTTAACTTGTAAATATGAAGGGGCAACAACCCATCTGGTCACACAGATTTCAGAAAGAGAAAAAAGCAATGTCCACAGCTGTCACGTGTATCATGCATACTAATAAACTGTGTGTTAATATCACAGTGACTGAGAACTACACTGAAGAGTTTTGTTTTTTTTTTCTTTTTTGATACAGAGTCTCGCTCTGTCACTCAGGCTGGAGTGCAATGGCTCACTGCAACCTCCGTCTCCCAGATTCAAGCAATTCTCCTACCTCAGCCTCCTGAGTAGCTGGGATTACTCACCCATAGCTTGCACCACCATGCCCGGCTAATTTTTGTATTTTTAGTAGAGATGGGGTTTCACCATGTTGGTCAGGCTGGTCTCCAACTCCTGACCTTATGACCCACCCGCCTCAGCCTCCCAAAGTGTTGGGATTATAGGCGTGAGCCACCGGGCCTGGCCAGTGAGGAGTTTTATATTCTGTTGGTTACGGTTTCATTTTTGAGAAATACGATTCACCCCTTCCTCCTGCTACAGAGAAGGAATCTTTCCTAAGGCCATCTCTCAAAAGCTCACTCATGAACTATTTGGGGAAGTCCTCGACAAGACAGAAAAGCAAGCACATCCAGATTAATGAGGAAGCCCTTCTTCTCCTCCTCCTCTAACAGGAGTCCACGTTCACAACTTCATTCACATTGGTATCTTTCCTCAAAAAGGTTTTCGTGCATAGTATGTCATAATCCCTGAATCGTATGTATGTCTGTGTGAGGGCAGGAATGAGGCTGGAGGCCCAGGAGACCAGACTTCAGGAATGTCAGGGGCTGGGGCTGCATACATGGATCAAGAAGAGAAAACGAGAAAAAGGCATGGGTTTAATTTGTACAATTCAAGATTATAAATAAAAGCATCTCGGGTATCTAAGTATCCACAAATTTTAGTATAGCATTGAACAATTTATGAAATATAAATTCTCTAGACCAATTATGGTTTTAAACCAAAAGAATGAGCTAATGATTAAAATCTCTGCATCATTCTCTCATGGTCTTAAAAAAAAAAGGAAATCAGATCATGGTATGTGTTGTTGAATGGATTTGTACACTTTAAACAAAGAAAGGAAAAAAAAAAAAAGGAACTTCCCAAATTGTACCAAGCACCATATTGCATCTTTGAAGCCAGAAATGGCCTCAGGGCAGATATTTATATTTTTGACAACGAGAGCAACATAAGGCAAGCACGTTTTAGTTTGAAATACAAGCACAGCACTTCTGAACTAGAGGAAATGAAAAGCGAAGCACATCGACAAACGGAGTCACAGTGCTTTGGAAGGAAGTGTTATTGAATCATCATTACATTAAACGCTGTCAAAAACTTTGGCCAAGCATGGTGGCTCAAGCCTGTAATCTCAGCACTTTGAGAGGCTGAGGTGGGCAGATCACTTGAGATCAGGAGTTCGAGACCAGCCTGGCCAACATAGTGAAACTGTCTGTACTTAAAATACAAAAAAATTAGCTAGGCATGGTGGTGGGCGCCTGTAATCCCAGCTACTCGGGAGGCTGAGGCAGAAGAATCACTTGAGCCAAGGAGGCAGAGGTTGCAGTGAGATCATGCCACTGCACTCCAGCCTGGGTGATAGAGTAAGACTCTGTCTCAAAAAAAAAAAAAAAGGCCTTTGGAAAGCCATGGGACACTGCTTTCTGTAATCAATTATGTCCAAAAGGTGTGGTATGAAGAGGATGCCTGGGAAAGGAGGAAGAAGCCAAATCATTAGACAGTTGTTATCAAAGGAGGCTAAAAAGTTATGCGGGTTTCTCTTTTTCTCTGAGGAGCTTCCAGCAGTCCCTCCAAAAGACTAACTCTTATCTTTCAATAAACATGGCTTATTCCCCTCTTTCCTAGTGGGAAGTAAGGACACTGGGAGATGTGTGAGCCATATAAAAAAGGAGAAAGGGGAGGTTGACCCAGTAGTGCCAGGACTACAAAAGGGAATACAAAGGCCCAGATGCATGTCTGTGTGGAAGAAGAAAACAGAGAGAAGAGTAAACAGCACAGCATCCCTTAAACACTTTTTTCTCATGCAAGGCATGAAGAAAGTTCTTCACTGAAGTCCTAAACTTTGCTGACCTAATGAAAAGAATGAGATTGTTCTTGGGTTTGACTGAATTCTGCTGGTTTAGCTAATGTTTTATGAGTGTCTACATCCTGCCAACCATGGGAAGCTAGGATGTTACCCCAAGCAGTTTGCAACTCACTGGAAGTTCTTAGAGAATTCACTCTCAAAGAACAAAAGGCTAAGTTGGAGCAAGAGCCATTCCCTTCCTCCGGGTAAGAATTAACCACAGGACGTGCTTCTGGTCAGAGTAAGCAGCCTCCTCTCTCATGCGCAGGGATGGATTTGGGTGATGATGAGATCAACTTTATTTACTTTGAGACAGAGTTTCGCTCGTGTTGCCCAGGCTGGAGTGCAGTGGCATGATCTTGGTTCACTGCAACCTCTGCCTCCAGGGTTCAAGAAATTATCCTGCCTCAGCTTCCAGAACAGATGGGACTACAGGCATATGCTGCCCACGCTTGGCTAATTTTTGTGTTTTTCGTAGACATAGGGTTTCACCATATTGGTCAGACTGGTCTCAAATTCCTGACCTCAGGTGATCCACCTGCTTCGGCCTCCCAAAGTGCTGGGATTACAGGCGTGAGCCAGTGTGCCCAGCCCAGGATACCTTTTGTGTCGGCAGCCTTGTCCCTAGCCAGGCCAGGGTATAGCTGTGGCCAGAAGCAAGGTGTAAGGTAGCCCCTTTCCCCCTCTACCTAGAATTAGCACTGTCGCCACCCTAACTATGCCACAATCCTATTTCTAGAAGCACTTATTTTCGGAGCTTCATAACAAGATGAAAAAAAAGAAAATACCACGTAAATCAAACAAAACAAACCAAACCAAAATTGACATTGTTCTTAAGCCTGTTAATGTAGACTTAGGTTTTCAATGACCTTGAAGTCAGCATGCAAGGAACAGCTGCCATTGGGAATAGCTGCCATTGGGAATGTGGGCATCATCCCTTTCTGGGCGCATAACACATGCTTTGCCAAAGCAGGGTCTTCAGTCCTGCTTACCTGTCATGTTTATTTTCTTGGGCTGCTCTTAAGAGCTCCTGTATGTTTTTGGTGATCTGTTCAGTCTTCCTGATGACATCTTCGGTACTAGGGAGAGTGGGGCTTGGGGCCACGTGGGGTTCTGCTGTGTCTGGTACCAAGCCATCACCTGGCCACACCATACTTCTTTGCCGTCCCTTTCGGCTTGACCTGTGAACATTAAAGATGCAGTTAAATACAGCAGGTGCTTATTAGCTGCTCCTCTGCTTCTAGGAGCCACTTTGTATGCACCAGCTAAATGCATGAGCAGGCTGGTCTCGTCATTTCCTTTATCCTGTCTAGCAGGAGACTCACGGTAAGGCTCTAAAATGGGCTATTTCACTCTACCATAGGCCTGGAAGTGTTTGCTCTCATGGGAAGGGTGAAGGAGGGGAAAAGGGAGGGAAATACCTGGGGCGGGGAGAGTGTGTGGTTATAAAGCCATTCCCAGGTGAGCCAATTCCTTGGGTACAAATGCGGAATGTAACCTAGTGTTGTCTTCGTGATGAAGGAGGGTAATGACTTTAAACACACTACAGACAGCTAAAGACACATAACATGCTGGTACAAAGAAAAAGACCTTTCAGCAATAATGTGAGATGACAAGACATGCAAACTATGAGCATATACTTGAATATTTTAAGACTTTATGAGTCTGAAAATAGAGAAAAGGGGTGTGTGTGGTGAACTGCTTCTGCTGGCCCTGGAGGCCCCTCCCCTGGCACGCTCATCCTGTGGATGTACCCCATGCCATCTGGCTCCATGTCGTTGGGAGTGTTGTCGTAGTCACTCTCAGGTGTGCTGTTCTGCTTCTCCAGCCTGGATGCCTACAAGAAAGAAGAGGGACCCTCATAAGTTGGTAACATGAGACCCTTCTCAGGAGTCTTTCCTAGGAACTGTTACCTATTAGGCTATTGGCCTTCACATCCCAAATCTCATTTGGGACAGGGGCCAACTCTCTAGTGAAAATTCAGTAAAAGATGAACATTGGATCCAGAAATGGCCTCTTTCCTTCTTTGCACCATTTTCTTCTTAGCTCAGTGGCTACTCCATAATCACATCCTTGGTACAAACTAACAGACATGCAAGGCAACACACCCTCATTTAGTTCTCAAATTTATAACATAATGAGATGTAGTTAAAATACAGGCAGGGTGTGGCGGCTCATGCCTGTAATCCCTGTATTTTGGGAGGCTGAGGCAGGATGATTGCTTGAGGCTAGGAGTTTGAGACCAGCCTGGGCAACATTAAAAAAAACAAAAAATTAAAAATAAAAAAACCCCAGCCAGGCATGGTAGCATACACCTGTAGTCCCAGCTCCTCAGGAGGCTGAGGGAGGATTGCTTGAGCCCAGGAGTTCAAGATTGTATTGAACCATGATCGCATCACTGTACTCCAGCCTGGGCAACAGAGTAAGACCCTGTCTCAGAAACAAACAAAAAAAATCCCGGCACTTATATGACCACAGACCTTCAGCATTGGAAGTCACCTTCAGATTATCTGATTGAACCCCATATGAGAAAATGAAGGGCCAAAAAAGCTGCGTGGCCCACCAAAGGCCACAAAGTCTGCAGAAAAACAGGACCAAGCACCAGGTCTCCTGCCTCCTGCTACCTCCAATATTTCATGCCTGGGCTCAAATCTACCCCTTAAAATGTAAAGATTCGGTACAACTGTGGCAATCAAAAATGGGATATAGATTCAAAAGAGGAATCCTAAAAATGTTTTGAACAAATGCCAGCACTGCTAAACACAGGATCTTCTAGGGTGACGAAATTCGAAGGGGACTTTATTCCTTCGAAGGGAACTATGTTCTGAGTATTTCATGAACGTTATTTTCCCTCAGTATTTATTTCACCCATAATGCTTGAGAATTTCTTTGGAACAGAAATCAGTGGAGGCTAATTTAAAACCTAAACCAATTACCTTATAAAATACAAGTGTGAGCTATTTCTAGCTTTACTCCTTGAATTTCATCCAAGTTAATCAAAACATGTGACTAAGAGAGTTTTATTGATGCTGCAATAAAATGTGGCTAAGGACACAGATGTAAACTAAGAGCTTTGTTTAAACACATGGAAACCCTATAGCTTTATCCAAAAGAATGGCTACTTTTGAGTAAGTTGGTTTAAGAAGGTCTACATGGCCAGGTGCGGTGGCTCGCACCTGTAATCCCAGCACGTTGGGAGGCCGAGGTGGGCAGATCACTTGAGGCCAGGAGTTTGAGGTTAGCCTGGGCAACATGGTGAAATGTCATCTCTACTAAAACTACAAAAATTAGCCAAGTGTGGTAGTGCACACCTGCAGTTCAGCTACTTGGGAGGCTGAAGTGAGAGGATCTCTTGAGCCTAGGAGGCAGAGGTTGCAGTGAGATGAGATCACACTACTGTACTCCAGTCTGGGTGACAGAGCTAGACCCTAACTCAAAAAAAATAAAAAAATAAAAAAACCAAAACCCCCCCCACAAAACTAGGTAAAGCCTGATTGTTGCTCCTTACTGATAACACCTGGTGGGTACAGACAAGGCAGCTGGACCCATGTGGAGGAGTCCCCCTTATTCACACCACACTTTGTTTGCTATCCCCATAGACTCTCCTTCTGCTCCCAGGGCACATGTTCTCTTCTCTGTCGGCTGAGTTCTTCCATCCACACCTCCACACATGCTCTGTTTAGTTCCCAGCCACTCAAATACAAGACGCTTGCTGTGGGCTCCTAAAATTCACTATGAACTTGTGCATCCTGCAGCCACTCAAATCCATTTGGCAAATGATTAAATGTTGGCTTGGAGCCATATGGGGAGTTTGTAAAGCTAATTTCTGTAGAATCTATAACTTTGGTGATTCCTTTGTTTATATCTCCTACCAATAAGTAGTTCTGCTTCTCTTGCTGCCTTGTTTTGATCTGGCTTTATGAACAGTCAATGAGTTTGGCTCCTAGAAGTCTATAGCAGGAAGATCATGGGCAAGCACTGTGGTCTTCCAGAGATGAGCTTAGAAAACTGAAAAGAAAGAAAAAAACCCAAAACTCTTCTTATCTTGTCACAGGGAATGCCTAACTTTTCTTTTCTTTTTCTTTTCTTTTTTTTTGAGGTGGAGTTTCACTCTTGTTGCCTAGGCTGGAGTGCAATGGCGTAATCTCGGCTCACTGCAACCTCTGCCTCCCAGGTTCAAGCAATTCTCCTGCCTCAGCCCCCCGAGTAGCCGGAATTACAGGCATGCGCCAGCACACCCAGCTAATTTTGTATTTTTATTAGAGACGGGGTTTCACCATGTTGGTCAGGCTGGTCTCAAACTCCTGACCTCGGTGATCTTCCCGCCTCAGCTCCAAAAGTGCTGGGATTATAGGTGTGAGCCACCGCACCCTGCCAACTTTTTTTTCTTTTCTTTTCTTTTTGAGACAGGGTCTCACTCTGTCGCCTAGGCTAAGTGCAGTGGTACAACCTCAGCTCGCTGCAGCCTTGACCTCCCAGGCTCAAGCGATTCTCCCACCTCAGCTTCCTGAGCAGCTGGGACCACGGGCATGTGCCACCACGCTCGGCTAATTTTGTACTTTTTTGTAGAGACAAGGTCTTACTATGTTGCCCAGCCTAGCCTCATAATCCTGAGCTCAAGTGATCCTCCAAGTTTGGCCTCCCAAAGTGCTGGGATTATAGATGTGAGCCACCACACCTGGCCCCAACTAAATTTTAAGTTTTATTTTGGTTTTTATATATACACCCACACAGAGGTATGTGTGTGTATACATATACACATATATCAATAGATAAAAACTTGCATTTACGTAATTATACTGAAAAATGTGCCCAGAGCTGCTCCAGTGGAAAACAAACTAGAAACAGAATTAAACCCAGAAAATTCTACATATTTATAATGAATCTTTTTTATTTATTTATCTGGAGACAGAGTCTCGTTCTGTTGCCCAGGTTAGAGTGCAGTGGCACGATCCTGGCTCACTGTAACTTCTGCCTCCCAGGTTCAAGCGATTCTCCTGCCTCAGCCTCCCAAGTAGTTGGGAGTATAGGCGCCCACCGCCATGCCTGGCTAATTTTTTGTATTTTAGTAGAGACGGGGTTTCAATGTGTTGCCCAGGATGGTCTTGAACTACTGAGCTCAGGGAATCTACCTGCCTCGGCCTCCCAAAGTGCTAGGATTATAGGCATGAGCCACCACGCCTGGCCTTTATAATGAATCTTTTTGCCTTCCCCGATGAAATGTGATAATTGCAAATCAAATGCATTACTCTCAATGATCAAAAGTACCAAGTTGCATTTAAACATTTTAGAAGAGCAGTGACTCATATACCTAATAAATGCATTTGGTAAATGTTTCTCAAGTATGGAAAACAACATATAGCAGCAACCACCCAGGAAATCAGTTACTTACACGTTAGTTAAGTCCTTCATCGTTGTCAACAAAAGCATATGTACAGAATTTCAGTGTAGCCAGCATTTAATGTATCAAAATTATTATAAACATGCAGAGCCAAAAGCTATTGGTTAAGAGTGCTGCTCTCTCAAAGCTGTTAATAGGAAGGTTACCTTATAGCTGGTGCTGGTTCAATTTATTTAATAGGTTTGCAGTTTTCTCTGAATAAAGACACGCCATAAAAATCTAAACTCATGATGAAGCTGTCAGGAACAATCAGGGTGATCAGTTTAAATGATTTTTGTACAAAACTCTATCTCAGCAAGCAGTCCTTGCAATGATTTTGGAGGCTACCATACAAATTAAAAAACAAAATTTCACAGTAGACAAAAGTGGTTTGACTTACAAAATTTCTAATGAGGTATTTAATCACTAACTGTCCTTTAGTTGTATCTGGGCTATTTTAATGAAAACATTACAGTTCAATTTCAGAACTGCTCAGGAGACCTTTTTTTTTTTTTTTTGAGACAGTCTCACTCTGTCGTCCAGACTGGAGTGCAGTGGTGCAATCTCGGCTTATTGCAACCTCCGCTTCCCAGGTTCAAGGGATTCTTGATTCTCGTGCCTCAGTCTTCCGAGTATCTGGGATTACAGGCATGCGCCAACCCCCTCCTAATTTTTGTATTTTTTAGTAGATACGGGTTTTGCCATGTTGGCCAGGCTGGTCTCAAACTCCTGGGCTCAAGTGATCCACCCACCTTGGCCTCTCAAAGTGCTGGGATTACAGCCACTGCACCCAGCTGAGACTTTAAATCCAATTTATCAAGAATTCTTTTTTTTTTTTAAGTACAATAATTGCTTTTTTTTTTTTTGAGACAGGGTCTCACTGTGTTGTCCAGGCTGGAATGCAATCGCAAAATCATGGCTCACTGCAGCCTCGATCTCTCATAGTGGGCTCAAGCGATCCTCCCATCTCAGCCTCCCAAGTACCTGAGACTACAGGTGTGCATCAACACACCTGGATAACTTTTTATATTTTTTGTAGAGATAGAATTTCACCATGTTGCTGAGGCTGGTCTTGAACTCCTGGGCTCAAGCAATCCACCCGCCTAGGCCTCCCAAAGTGTGTGAGTCACTGCACTCGGCGAGAATTCTTAATAGACTACTGTGAAAGTGAAGTAAAGAATTCCAAAAGGGTGAGGGCATGGTGGCGCATGCCTGTAGGCCCAGCTACTCAGAAGCCTGAAGTGGGAGGACTGCTTGAGCCCAGGAGTTTGAGGCTGCAGTATGCTATGACCACGCCTGTAAATAGCTACTGTACTACAGACTGGGCAACATAATGAGGCTCTGTCTCTTAAAAAAAAAAAACCAATCCTGAAAGGGCCTTGATAATCCATATGCCACTGGAACTAGGAAAGAAAGGCTCTCCATCATTCCTAGGTGTGGAGGGAATGGCAAAGGCCCAGTGCAAACCCCACCTTGCCTGTAAAGGTGGTTCCTTACCCACAGCCACCTTCCTCCTCTTACCTTACATTACCCTTCCATTCAAAAAGAGATGGAGCCAGAACTGGGACATGGATTTTCAAAGCTTGTGCTCTTTCCACGGCTTTCCCAGGTTGCAGTCATGTACCACTCTTTGTGCATGAAAGTATTTTTTAATCGACAGTGCCTTCGGGAGCAGGGGCTGTGCCACCTAAGTCCTTAGTACCCTTTCATTGACTTACCAAAACGCTGTGTATGGAGGAGTTGCTTAATACTTACTGCCTGACTACTCTAAAAGGGGCTTAACTGAATCATGCACTGCTATTGAGACCATAAATTATACACCAGTAGGTGGGGTTTAACCAACCTGTACAAGTGAACAGCTTTAGGCTAACAGCTGCTTGCACAGATCCAATGCCACAAGGTGTTACAATCCTGATTCAAGATGCAGGGACTTGTAAACCTTGGTTTGTCAAGTGTAGTGCTGACATAAAATGTGTCACAGGTTTAAAAAAAAAAAAAGGCATGACATTTTAGTACTTCAGCGAGTCCACATACAGCAGTTTCAATATGACAACTGTAGCCCTGAACAAATCGAACAGATTTGGCCTATTATAATATCTAACCAGCAGCCAGCTAGTTTTCTGGTTGTTTAAAAATACAGTATGCTCAGAATAAATGCTGTAGGGTGATTTGCAAACTTTGTTAAATATGACGTGAATATGAGCAGTGTGGGGTTAGAGAAAGGTAGGCGCCCTCGATGGGTGAGCGTGCGTGTGCACGAGTGTGCGCCTGATGCACTGTGAGAAACCAGGAGGAAGCGCTGCCTCATGCAGGACGGAAGGGCAGTTAGCGAGGGACAGGAGGGCCAGAGCCCAAGCACAAAGAGCCCAGGAGCACGGCCCCTCCTCCAGAGAGCAGACCATTCAGAATGTACTTAACCCTTCGGGCGCTTTCGTCCCTCGACCAGGAAAGTGTGGAGGGGAAGGAAGGCAGAGATGAAGAGGAGGTCACAAACGCACTCCTCCCGATCTGGAATGGGAAAGAGAAACACACTCGGGAAAATACAAAATAGACCAAAAACCTACCACCTCGCCAGCTTCAGTAAAAGAATCCTGGAACACCACATACTATGTGACGTGACTGGTGCAATCTCAGTGGCCACCAGTGACAGGACCCCAGAGATGTTTAAACCCTTGGTGAAACACCTCCTGGAAATTACTCTGAATTTAATAAGGCTGCTTTTCCATAAGGGAAATACCTAACATAATTTGTCAAACTTGTCAATAATTTGTTAATGGATACTATGAAATGCGTATTTGTTTTTCAGTCAGGACTGATGTGAGATGAGAAACTATACAAATGATTCTAAGTTGCTATACACTATCAATCTAATTTTTAGTACAGTTATAGTCCTTCTTGATATGATATCTTTATATTCTAATTTTTTTCTAAAATAAGAAAGTACACTGAAAAATAAAGGCTGATTTTCCTAAATTTTGTCTTCAGCTATACAAAAATAAGATTCTTAACTTAGGGTGGGCGTGGTAGCTCACACCTGTAATCCTAGCACTTTGGGAGGCTGAGGTGGGCGGATTGCCTGAGCTCAGGAGTTTGAGACCAGCCTGGGCAACATGATGAAGCCCCATTACTACTAAAACACAAAAAAATTAGCCAGGCGCGGGAGCATGTGCCTGTAGTCCCAGCTACTCAGGAGGTTGAGGCAGGAGAACTGCTTGAACCCAGGAGGCAAAGGTTGCAGTGAGCTGAGATTACACCACTGCACTCCAGCCTGGGTGACAGAGCGAGACTCCGTCTCAAAAAAAAAAAAAAAAAGATTCTTAACTTAGTTCAATGGCATTCCCATTACATCAAATTTATCAAATCAACTGCCTTAGAATGTTAAACCCAAATATCTTAAAAAGAATTTGAGATGATAGACTCCCAGTTATAGTAAAACAATATTGTAATTTTAACACACTGAAAATTGACAAAATTAAACTAGGGTTTAATTTACAAAACCATGTCCTTGCTATGCATCTACCTTGAGAATTTTTTTGGAAACTCCCGTAAAATTTGACTGAAGAAATAATAAACTTTGACACTCAAAAAGACAAATACTACTCTCCGAAAAAGCATACGTGAAAAAGTTTAAATGTCTGTAACATCTTGGCAAAACACATATTTTTATAATAAAGTAATCCAGGATAAATATATTTGAAAATCTCACAACACAGTATGTATCCCAATGCAAAATAAGATTGTAAGAAACCTGCTGCAGAACACAATCTCTGGAATTCAGCACTTCTAAGACTGATGAAGAGTATTACATTTCCTTTTCTGAGATGACAAAGCCACACTTCCCCCACCACGGGGGAGGAGCAGGATGCAGAAGCGAACCTAGCAGGCACACTGAGCACACATGCAGAGGCTGCGGAGGCCTGGAGCCTTCCAGACTTGCCTGGGTACCTGGGCCACAGACTCAAGGCCACCTGCTTGAAGAGGAGCTGAAAAGCCATCTTGGATTCTAAGGGCTCCAGTCCTTAAAGGGGCATCCCTGTCTAGCTCCAAGAAGGCGACACTTCCTTCTGAGAGTGACCTTTATGATCTGCTTTTGTTTTTGGAAGTGGGGAAGGAAGGAAGCTTTACCAAAAAAAGTTCCAACACTGGCTGGTTGAGAAATAACCACGGATGTGGGGGAGAAAAAAAGTAGCAGTTCGGGCAAGAGCCAGAATCCCCAACTTGGTTAGGAAACCATCAGCCCATGGCCCTGTGTGCTTGTGGGAACATCGCAAGCATCTGTGGACATGTTAATACAGCAAACACAATGGTAACTCTCTTAGCCCAATTTGGCAAAGCAGAGGTGTGGGGACCTGCAGGTTCAGAAGAGGGAACAGAGTAGTCAGGCTGCACAGAGTGAACAGCGGAAGCGCCAGTGGTGTTACTTACGTGTGCGGGGAAGGGCTGGAGTCTTGTCCTGCTCTCTTCAGGGCGGCTCGCTTCTCCCATTGGGAGATACGGTTTCTGACCTGATCCGGTCTCGTACATGGACATGGGCCTACTGCCCCGGGCAGACGGACGTCTCTTTAAGGAAGAGTGGTTGGAAGTGTCTGTGTACTCAGAACCAGTTTGCACCTGATATACATTGGTTGTGGCCTGTTTCCTGAGGTTCGAATTTTCACTCTGGAGTGTTTGAAGCTGAAAGAAATGTTTGGCAGTGGGACTGTGTTTTTTTATAGCAAGCAGAAAAAGCAAACACCAAGTAAATGAATACAACTACCAGCTTTAAACAATAAGGGCAGTAACAGCTAGCGGGGCTGAAAGTAAAAAGCCAATACAAACAAAGACCCTTTCTTCTGGATGGGGTGAAACACAATCAACTCCCTTCATCATGTAAGCAAATTAAATAGCTTCATTTCTGAATGCGGAAAAGTTGTGGTTTGGACTTCCTCAAAACAAAATGTCTAACCGCTTAAAAATTTGTCATGGTGGGCTGGGAAATGTTTGCAGGCAAGCTGTATACTGGATTATTCTAAGGTTGTTTCAAGCAAGAGCTCGAGATCATTAAAACATCATTTAGGTAACTTGCTTTTCAAATGAGCCCCGAGCAATTTGCAAAGGCCAAAAATGACAGCAGACACCATGGAAGCAGCACAAAGATGATGAGGGTTGCTTTGCAAAGCAAGAAAGACAGAAGTTCAGCTTATGAAAAATCAGATCAGCTATTGCTTTCCAAAAAGCCAACAAGAAAAATTATGATCAACAAGTTTTTATTACATAATACTCTTGATATTCCAAACAATTCAGCACTTTGTAAAAAAAAAAAAAAAAAAGAGAAAACTGGATCATGGTAAGTTTGCTATATTAACATATCACAAAGAAAACTGGAAACCTATTATCTATGGAATCGACATCTTCGCATGGATGCTCCACGCAGCACGCTTGCTTCCGTCTGGTGAGTGATCATCTTTCAGCCAGGACTGGAATATTTGGCCTTTCTCTCCTTTGGCTTTGTCACCCAAAAAACACGACCTCAGTGGTGTCAGCTTTGAACATGCTAATCTGCCTGGCACCACCCCATTTTAGAGACTGTCACTTGGAGGCCCTGAATGCTCCTTCCATTCCTCACATGCAGGCTGCTCCATGGTGCTGGATGGATTAGAGTTAAGGGGTCAGCAGGGAATCGTGTTACTCTTTGGCATCTGGCATTTTAAACACCATTCACCACGTCCATTCTGCGCAGGGTCCTTCCCTTCTGGCGCGCCTTCATCTTCCATGGACATTTTATAAGCTGGGTGTGGTGTGAGTTCAGCTGTCTACTCTTTGACAGAGATTGTAAAATCTGACCAAATTCCCCACCAGTGCCAAAGTTTAAGTCCACGAGCAACTGTTTGCACCAGAAGATCATTACTTTTTCAGTAGCAAACCCATTCAATGTTAGGAGTTGCTTTAAATTTTTATTTAGAAAGCACCAATCTGTGAAAAATACACCAATAGTAGTTGCTCCTCTTCATTAATTAGCATCTTTTCCAAGCAACTGTTAAATGTGAAAGATCAGATACAAATCATGCTACTTTGTCAACTTTATGTATATTAAAAACTTTACCTAACTTTGAAATAAAATCAATACATCTTTGCTAAATAAACAAATTCTATATACTTTATATTAATCATGCCAAACTGCTGCGAAAGTGTGACTTACTGCCTCTTCCCCAAAAAGACCACTCATTCTGTTTCCTTGAAGAGCAAGCCATTACAGAATGATAGACTGCTTTTATCCCACAAAGGCTGGCAGGGTATAGCTAATATCTGCAATTCCCTTTCCAGGGAAAGAACAGCTGCAAAGTGACAAAGCAGCCCTGAACATTTCTACATTCCAGGATACAGACAGGCATGAAGTGCCTGTTGAAACTACTCATTAGAGAACCCAGGGCCTAGAGTGAAATGGTCAAGATTCAAGGACTGAGGCGTGTAACTGACACATGTCCCTCAATGGGGCACTGGTGCATCTAATCACGTGTTTGTCTGTGTAAAAAGCCTCTGTGGCAGTATTTTAGTTAAAGCCTTCACATCTGAAACTTTACCCTAACACTTTTCATGCTTGGATTTTGCCTGAATGTGTTCTCATGAGCACAAGTTCTTGGTTTAAATTTTTAAAAAATTTTAGTACTCTGTATTTAGAGAGATGTCCTCACATAAATTTTAACGATGTTTATCTTAATAAGAACCAGGCTACACTTTTTTATTTGGAAGGAGTAGAAGGAAAATAAAAAGTTATAGACAATTCAATAGTTTCAGAAATCAGAAGCATTTCTTTTTTTTTTTTTTTTGTGAGACGGAGTCTCGCTCTGTCGCCCAGGCTGGAGTGCAGTGGCCAGATCTCAGCTCACTGCAAGCTCCGCCTCCCGGGTTCACGCCATTCTCCTGCCTCAGCCTCCCGAGTAGCTGGGACTACAGGCGCCCGCCACCTCGCCCGGCTAGTTTTTGTATTTTTTAGTAGAGACGGGGTTTCACCGTGTTAGCCAGGATGGTCTCGATCTCCTGACCTCGTGATTCACCCGTCTCGGCTTCCCAAAGTGCTGGGATTACAGGCTTGAGCCACCGCGCCCGGCCCCAATCAAAAGCATTTCTAAGAATTGATGAGATAATCAATAAGCAACAGCAAATAATTTCACTTTGCATTTCTCAAAGAAGCTCAAGACATTTGCTTTCAGAGATAATGAGGCTCTCTCTTCCAAAAATACTAAAAGAAGCATTATTAGATTTTAAAAGGTGATGTGCAACAGATTGATTTACAGTGGCAAAATCAGCATGTTTCAGAAATAGTCACCTGGTCAAAATTATTAGTCCAATTAATGGGACAAAGTATAATCCATTAAATAAAATATATTCCAAAGAAGGCAGAGAAAGTACAGGTCCTGTATGTAATGACAAAGGGGCTCTTGGTCTGTCTCGTTTACAGCTGCACGGCAGCCCTAGACAGGACTGGGAGACACAGAACAAGTGTCTGTTTGTTTAAGGCTGGCTCATCTTGAGCATTCTTCATTCCCTGCTACTACAGGCATTAGAGCCATGTATTTCAAAAAGTCTCAAAAATGCTCTAGAACTCAAAATCAAAAGGATCCTAGACCAAATCCCAGGCAAAAGTGCACAGCAATTTCCTTCCCTAGTAAGTAGAGGGGCATGGGCCCCTTTTTAGTTCTTTGACCTTCCTTTAGGAAGCAGCACTGAAAAGAGTCCAGGTACACATGGAGTGTACCACGTCCTCAGGTCTTGAAAATGATTTGAAAACCTTACTTCTCAAATGACTGCCTAAATATATAGATCATATATTTCATTTTGTTTCTGGTTAAGTGTCCAAATCTCATTTTAGAACTGAACGATGGGAGTGATACCCACAAAGTCATGGGCAAAATTTGGAATTTTTCAAATGCCCTTACTTAGCCTTCTCACAAAGAGTTGCATACACAATCCCCCTCCTACTAAGGGTATTCCTTGCTACCATCAACCACACTCCTTTCCGGGATTAACATATTCAGACGGTTCTGATTCTCTCAAAAGGTAATGAATGAGAAAACGCTGAGCAAATGAGATTGCTTCTTACCAGTGTGCAGCTCTTGCTATTACAAATGAAATGGTTTTTTCTTATTTTTTGAGAACCTACTCTGTGGCAGGCCCTCCCGTAGGCTCTGGGGATAATACAAGTTAGTAGTAAACACTGGTAAGCAATAAGGTGGGGATGTGGGATAGGGCTGCCAGGGTGGGAGCAGGGTTTGAATGCTGATAAACATGCCCCTGCCCGGGGCTCTCACTGGCTCTGTCTCCATGGTATGATCATCCCTCCCTAGCAATGGGAAGAATCACATCCATGAAGCGCCATCCAGGTTTCCAGGAAGCACAGAATAGTGCAAGGGTTATTCTAAAGGGCACAAATGCTTAAATAGGATGTTAGGTTTCTCCTCCCTGGGGAACTTACTCTGGATATATTTCATTTTAAATATCCAAGTACATCCTGCTTCAAAAAGACAACTTGGCCCAAAGATTTCTAAGGCTGTTACAATAACTGTTTTTCTTCCCTCGGACCACATCACAGTGCCTGAGATTCTTCCTTGTACTATGGGATTAAAGCATCAACCGTCCTGGCATTTATTAACATGTTACCTTTTTCTGCATAATTCTCAGCTCGTCACTCAAGTTGTTATTCACCTTCATTAGCTGCTGTATCTTGGCCTCAGAAGCCACTAGAGCGTTTTTGACCTCCATAAATTCCTGTACAGTGACTGGTCCATCTGATAAATCTGAATCTAGGCTCTAAAAATAAATTGGGGAAAACGTTCACAATCTGAGATGATGAGAACATTAAAGACTAACAGCTCAAGAATTTCAAATTCTGACCAAGCCAGCTGAATTGCAAAGTTAGTCAAACCAAATTAAGGCCTCTGAGAGTAATGTAAAACTAAAACATAAAAAAGTAGGGTCACTATCCTATTTAAAAAATTTGAAAGTCAGTATTTTCCAATAGAACAGGCAGTGGGGCTACACATCTATGCTGACAATGACTGTCTAAGGAGGTCTGTCCTGTCTTGTAAGCCTTTCTCTCGTTCACTCATGTTTTGCTTTTATTCATTCTTTCATTAATTCCTTCATTCCAACATTTTCATTGAACATTAGGCAGTGTTCTAGGTGCTTGGGATATATTAGAAAAGAGACAAAGATTCCTGCTTCCATGGTGTTTATATCCCAACAGCATGAGAGAGTATATATATTGTATGACTGAGGGTGATGAGTGCTGTGGGAAAAGATAAGACAGAGCAGGGTAGGGGACTGCATGTTAAGCGGGTAGCTGGGTTAAGCCTGTGAGTGGGTGAGAGGTGAGCAGAGCCCCGGGAGGTGAGGGAATAAGTCACATGAATCTGGAGGAAGAACATTCCAGCCTGCAGTGGAGCTCAGCCTGCAGGGAGCAGGTGTGTGGAATGGATTGGGCAGGAGGCCAGGCAGTTGATAGAGGGCCTGGTCACAGAGGGTCCTGAAACGACCTCAGCTCTGACTGAGTGAACCAGGTGGCTTCCCGGAAGTCTGCACAGGGGTGTCCCCTGCATCTGCTAATGGCGCCATCTTTCTCGTAGTCATGTGGGCCGGAGAACTCCGAACACATCTCCCATAAGTCTATCTCCCCACTTCAACCTTCCAACTTATTGCCAAGACTTTTCTATTCTACCTTCCTATTCATCTATTCTCAAATGATTGCCAAGCCCCTCCATGGGTGTGTCCTGGGGGTCAGCAGAGGGTGCACAGCCTGGGGTCCTGCCGCCTTCTCCACCAGCTCACACTCTGGTCCCGAGGTCTCTCCCACCTGCACCATCTTAGCATGGGTCCTGGGGTGGCCTGCGTCAGCTCCAGTTTGGAGCTCTCCCTCCACTCTCTAACCTACCAGAATAGTCCTCCCCAGACATGGCATCCTGGGCTCCGCACTGCCTGTGAGGCCCACGCTCATCCGCTGGGCGTCATACCCCTCTTGCTGCAGCTTCGAGTCCCACCCTTTTTAGCTGTCCCTATGCATGACCAGCTTCCCCTTAGATGCCCTGGTTTCACTTTCTTTCTGCCTCCTCCATATGCCCCAATCCCAAGCGTCCCTTGAGGCGCATCTTAAGAGCCGTCCTATGACACAGCCCTGCTGATGCTCCCAGCCATAGGTTCTCTCTCTGTTCACTCCCTCAGCCTGTGTGTGCTTCATATGACACACATCACTTTGTGCCTTCTCCTGCAGTTCTCTCTCTCCTAGGCAATGAGACCCTCATAGGAAAGGGATGAGACCTCATTCAGGAGAGTCATATCCAGAGAAGTCACTCAGTAAACACTTGTTGAATGAAATAAACACACCAGTCACTCCTCACAAGTTTTATAAAGTCTCAACTGCAGCAGGGCTGTGATGCAGGGACAAGGACCCCTATGTTAAAACCATTTAACCTTGTTTCACCTTTGCTTGGCCTGAGCTAGTAACAAACCCAACCTCACTGCACAGCAGCTTTGGCAGGGCTAGCCCTCAGCTGATGCATGCTTGCCCTTCCACAGGACGCACGGCCTCTCACCTTCTGCCGGTTTGCTTTGCTTGCAGTGGTTTCCAAATCTGTGTCTTCGTCTGATGCCACGCTGTCATAGTCGGGCTGGTCATTGTCTTGACTCTCAATGCTGTGCTGGTTATTGATTGTTTTCAGTATGAGCTCCACATTGTCTATCAATAAAAGCAAACAACTTTAATTCAGGCTTAAAACACTGCTTTTCTTCCAAAAGCTATGGAGAGGATTTTTTGGTTTAGCCATTTAAAGGACATAAAGGGCTGAATGCTGTGCTCTTGCCTGTAATCCCAGCATTTTAGGAGGCCAAGGAGGAGAAATGCTTGAGGCCAGGAGTTTGAGACCTACTTAGGCAACATAATGAGACTCTATCCCTACAAAATAATTTAAAAATTATCCAGGCCTGGTGGTACATGCCTGTAGTCCCAGCTACATAGCTACTCAGGAGGTTAAGACAGGAGGACTGCTTGAGCCGAGGAGATTGAGGCTGCAGTGAACCATGACTGCACCACTGTACTCTAGCCTGGGCATCAGAGTGAGGCCCTATCTCTAAAAGCAAAAACAAAGACAAAAACAAAATACACAAGGACTGAAAGAAAATGACAGAAATGGCATTGTTATATTCACACCAATATAGAGATAACAGGAAAAGTTTTCAACCAGGTGGACCATTACATAAGAGACTCCAGCATTCCTCATCTACCTGCCAAATATGGGCAAATTAAACAGATGGCTTAGGAAGGAACTGCTCAGATAAAAAGGCAAGATCCCAAGTTTCTAGAGATAGAGCCTAGCTCCAGGTCATGAAGATAAGGCTGTAGGTAATGGAAGATAAACTATAATTTGATTAATACCTATAACATGTTTACAAGGTAATATCAATCAAAACAGAAAGGAACTTGTTAAACTGGAGCCAGAACCTAGGCACTCAAAGAACAGAAACATTGTGCTGGACGTGGTGGCTCACACCTGTAATCCCAGCACTTTGGGAGGCCGAGGCGGGTGGATCACAAGGTCACGAGGTCGAAACGATCCTGGCTAACACGGTGAAACCCCGTCTCTACTAAAAATACAAAAAATTAGCCAGGTGTGGTGGCGGGCGCCTGTAGTCCCAGCTACTTGGGAGGCTGAGGCAGGAGAATGGTGTGAACCCACTTGCAGTGAACCAAGATCACACCACTGCACTCCAGCCTGGGTGACAAAGCAAGACTCCATCTCAAAAAACAAAAACAAAAACAAAAAAAATTGGCATTTAGTCCATTACCTGCATCTCAGTGAGACAAACAGATAGAGGAGAATGAATCAAATACACATGTGCATGTTACAAGGAGTGTCTATTCCATAAGGGAGCAGGGATTATTCTATTGGATCTAATACACTTTGAACAAAAGATTTCACAAACTAAAGTCTCTCTGATTTCTTTCAGGTTACTCAAACTCTGACTTCTAATACTGCTTCCCAGAGATGTTGAGGAAACAAAGGATGGATGATATCTGGGTGATGAATTGTGGTTATCTAAAAGGACTAGGTCCCAGCCGGGCACAGGGGCTCACATCTGTAATCCCAGCACTTTGGGAGGCTGAGGCAGATGGATCACTTGAGGTCAGGAGTTTGAGACCAGCCTGGCCAACATGGTGAAACCCCATCCCTACTAAAAATACAAAAATTAGCTGGGCATGGTGGTGGGCATCTGTAATCCCAGCTACTTGGGAGGCTGAGGCAGGAGAATTGCTTGAACCCAGAAGGTGGAGGTTGCAGTGAGCCGAGATTGCACCACTGCACTCCAGCACGGATGACAGAGTGAGAGTCTGTCTCGAAAAATAATAAGTAAAATAAAAGGATAGGTCCTATTTTAACTTTTTAAATGTTTTAAAACACATAAATATAATGATTACAGAAGTAACAGTCAATACATACAATTTAGAAACTAATGAGCAAGTAAGATAAAGTAATCACTTATAGCCATTGTTATTTGTTGATCTATTTTTTTCTAGGTTTTTTTCTGAGCACTTATATCCACACACAGTCAATTTTTGTTATTCTTGGTAGTTATTTTATTTATTTATAAATAAATAAAGTCTCACTCTGTCACCTAGGCTAGAGTGCAGTGGCGCGATCTCAGCTCACTGCAAACTCTGCCTCCCAGGTTCATGCCATTTTCCTGACTCAGCCTCCCGAGTAGCTGGGACTACAAGTGCCCGCTACCATGCCGGGCTAATTTTTTTTGTATTTCTTTAGTAGAGATGGGATTTCACCATGTTAGCCAGGAAGGTCTCGATCTCCCGACCTCGTGATCCCCCCACCTCGGCCTCCCAAAGTGCTGGGATTACAGGCGTGAGCCACTGTGCCCAGCCTCTTCGTAGTTATGTTCTAAAACGTTGCTGTGAATTGGCCAATATTAAATCAGTGCTCTTGGGGTTATCAACCAATCAATACATAACCTTGTTCTATATGTGTTTCTGTTTAAAGATACCTTATTTAATACATTTTATTGATTCATTAACATTGAACTCATGGCCAACAGCACTATAAATCATGCCTGAATGATGCTTATTTAACACACATTTCTCCATCGGGCACATCACAGCCTTCTTGCACTTAGACACACTAGACAGAGCTTCAGGACTATGCTTGGAAGCCACTTTTTTTCTTTTTTTATTGAGACAGGGTCTTGCTATGTCACCCTGGCTGGAGTGCACTGGCATAATCATAGCTCACTATAGCTTCTAACTCTTGAGCTCAAGTGATCCTCCTGCCTCAGCCTCTTGAGTATGTAGGACTACAGACACATGCCAACACACCTAGGTAATTTTAAAATTTTTTGGTAAAGATGGGGCCTTGCTATGTTGTTCAGGCTTGGAGATACTTTTTTTTTTTTTTTTTTTGAGATGGAGTCTCACTCTGTCGTCCAGGCTGGAGTGCGGTGGTGCGATCTCAGCTCACTGCAACCTCCGCCTCCTAGGTTCAAGCGATTCTCCTGCCTCAGCCTTCTGAGTAGCTGGGATTACAGGCAGACGTCACCATGCCTGGCTAATTTTTCTTGTATTTTTAATAGAGACAGAGTTTCACCATGTTGGTCAGGCTAGTCTTGAACTCCTGACCTCGTGATCGGCCCACCTCAGCCTCCCAACATTCTAGGATTACAGGTGTGAGTCACTGCGTCTGGTCGAGACACTTTTGAGATAGGGTCACCCATGCTAGAGTGCAGATGTGATCATGGCTCACTGCAGCCTCAACCTCCTGGGCACTCAATCGATCCTGGGCGGGGGTGGGGCATTTTAAAACAGTGAAATGACCAGTGAAAAGCACACAAATATGACTAACATGGCACTAAATAGACCACAGACACTTGTTTATAGCATGAATGCAGAAACAAGAAGTCAAGGAGTCTCCTCCCTGTTCAATCTCAGCTGGAAACATGTGCTTTTGATGACTCAATTTTTTTCTCTGCTCTGTATATTTCTTAGAATGACCTTGAAAATGCTGTATTAATTTTGAGGTCACAAATAAATTTTAGCAAGTAGATGAATTTCTAAATATGGGATGTGCACATGATGATCAATTGTGTATTTATACTTACCTGTGGTATACTCACTTGTACACATATATTTACATAAATATGTTTTCCTTACAAAATTGGGGTTATACAAAACCTTTTAAAAACGTCATTAGTTGGCTAGGCATGGTGGCTCATGCCTGTAATCCCAGCACTTTGGGAGGCTAAGGCAGGCGGATCACGAGGTCAGGAGTTCGAGACCAGCCTGGCCAATATGGTGAAACCCTGTCTCTACTAATAATACAAAAAAATTAGCTGGGCATGGTCGCGTGCACCTGCAGTCCCAGTTACTCAAGAAACCGAGGCAGGAGAATCGCTTGAATCCAGGAGGCAGAGGTTGCAGTGAGCCAAGACTATGCCACTGCATTCCAGCATGGGCAATAGAGGGAGACTCCGTCTCAAAAAAAAAAAAAGAAAAAAAAAACTGCTGTTTTTAAGACTAAATTTCACAACTGAAATTTTCAAGGTGCTCAGGTGAGAAACGGGAACTACAACTGATTACTCAAGTTGAGCCCTGGAGGTACAGGATAAGGACCTGGGCTTTAAACTACCTCATAACAAAAAAGAAAAAAATAAACTAGCATAACCAGAAACCATTCAGAGGTTTATTCAATAGCAGCAGTGATATGCAATCTTGTTTCTGTGACTATCTCAGTGATCTTGGGAAGCATTCAAAACCAGCAAATGTACACTGACGTGTGTCTGTAGCGATGTGGGCCCATCCCAGGTTTCAGCTGGGGCCTAACCATAGTTGTTTTTCAGTCTCATTACTGTTCCTTTGAAAAACTAAGATTTAGTCAGGCGAGGTGGCTCATGCCTGTAATCCCAGTACTTTGGGAGGCCAAGGCAGGCGGATCACGAGGACAGGAGATTGAGACCAGCCTGGCCAACATGGTGAAACCCCGTCTCTACTAAAAATACAAAAATTAGCTGGGTGTGGTGGTGCACACCTGTAATCCCTGCTACTCAAGAGGCTGAGGCACAAGAATCACTTGAGCCTGCGTGGCAGAGGTTGCAGTGAGCCAAGATCATGCCACTGCACTCCAGCCTAGGTGACAGAGTGAGACTTGTCTCAAAAAAAAAAAAATCAAACTTTATTACTTTATCTAATATAATTACTACTATAGTATAAATGTTTGTTCCCTCCAAATCTCATGTTGAAATGTGATCCTCAGTGTTGGAGGGGAAGACTAAAGGGAGGTGTTTGGGTCATGGGGGTGGATCCTTCATGAACAGATTAATGCCCTCCCTTTGTAGTGTGTTCTTGCTCTGTTAGTTCCTGCTAGGAGCCGGTCATTGAAAACAGCCTGGCACCTCCCTCCTTGCTCTCTTGCTTCCTCTCTCACCGTGTGATCTCTGCACATGCAGCACCCCTTCACCTTCCACGAGTGGAAGCAGCCTGAGGCTCTCACCAGATGCCCAGTCCTACAGTCAGCAGACTCATGAGCCAAATACACCTTTTTTCTTTACAAATTACCCAGTCTCGGGTATTCTTCTATAGCTACACAAAAAGGACTAAGACAATTACATATTCTTTTTTTAAAAAGGTAAGTATGTACTATTTTAAAATGTGACTAATTGTTCCTCTTTATTACTCAGTTGCTTCTAATGTTTGTGTTTTTCTACATAACATACATATAACATCTCTGATAATTTCCCTTCAGTTAACACCTAAGAATGGAATTATCAAATCAAAGAGCTGATATTTTTTTAAGACTTTATTTTTTAAATTAAAAAAAAATTTTTTTTTTTTTTTTTTTTTTTTTGGGCAGAGTCTCGCTCTATTGCTCAGGCTGGAGTGCAGTGGCGCAATCTCAGCTCACTGCAAGCTCTGCCTCCTGGGTTCATGCCATTCTTCTGCCTCAGCCTCCTGAGTAGCTGGGACTACAGGTGCCCACCACCATGCCTGGGTTATTTTTTGTAGTTTTAGTAGAGACGGGGTTTCACCGTGTTAGCCAGGATGGTCTCGATCTCCTGACCTCGTGATCTGCCCACCTCAGTCTCCCAAAGTGCTGGGATTACAGGCGTGAGTCACCGCGCCCGGTACCCAATTTTTTTTTTTGAGACAGAGTCTTACTCTGTTGCTCAGGTTAGAGGACAGTGGTGTCATCTCGGCTCACTGCAACCTCTGTCTCCCAGGTTCATGCAATTCTGCCTCAGCCTCCTGAGTAGCTGGGATTACAGGCGCATGCCACCACGCCCAGCTAATTTTTTTGTATTTTCAGTAGAGATGGGTTTCACCATGTTGCCCAGGTTGATCTCGAACTCCTGACCTCAAATGAGCTGCCCGCCTCAGCCTCCCAAAGTGCTGGGATTACAGGCGTGAGGCACCACACCCAGGCCATTTTAAGACTTTAAACTTATCCAAAGACTCGTCACTGTGCCTTCACCAAAATTTAATAAACCTTTTCAGAACTTCCTTATTCCTGGTTGAACAGATAAAATCAAATTCCTGAACAGGCAAGAAGAATGAATGAGTTGTTGTCAGTTAATGATTACTGTCTTTGGGGAATGTGATACTGACTGAAAACTTAATTTTTATGGTACATATTTCTTTTGCTTAAATGACTTACAATGAAAAATGTCTAATTTCTATAATTAGAAAAAAACAATATGGATACAGTAATAGGGCTGGAGAGGAAGGACATTCCTAAGCATGCAGACAGGACCTGGCCTACTGAACTAGACTGAACAGGGCACCTGTGAAACAGATGCTCACAGCTCTCCTTATAATTGTATATCACAGTAATTCTCACTGAAGACATTTAAAATTTTTGGCAACAAATTTTAATTATGTCGGACTCAGTTTCGTAGGTAAGCAACAGCAGATATTATGCAGTTTCAATCAAGAAGAGTTTTTTTTTTTTTTTTTTTGAGACAGAGTCGTGCTCTGTCATTCAGACTGGAGTGCAATGGTGCGATCTTGGCTCACTGCAACCTCCGCCTCTCAGGTTCAAGTGATTCTCCTACCTCAGCCTCCCGAGTAGCTGCGATTACAGGTGCCTGCCACCATGCCTGGCTAATTTTTGTATTTTTAGTAGAGATGGGGTTTTACCATGTTGGCTGGTCTCGAACTCCTGACGTCAGGTGATCCACCCGCCTTGGCCTCCCAAAGTGCTGGGATTACAGGCGTGAGTCACCGTGCCCGGCCAAGAAGAGTTTATTTTCACATGTCCTTTAATAAGATCTAAGTCAGAGTTTTGGGTTAATTTCAGGATGCAATTTTACAGGGAAGGTAAGTGTCCCAAAACAAAACAGAAATCATATATAAGATAAATATGTGTAGCAGTTAATAACTCTGAAATATTGTTAATTCACCAGGGCTCAGACAGGTAAACTATCACAATATACTACCAATAAAACTTATATGAGTAGGGGCTGAGGGGAGGGAACCTAGAGGACAGGTCAATAGGTGCAGCAAACCACCATGGCACACGTATACCTATGTAACAAGCCTGCACATTCTGCACATGTATCCCAGAACTTAAAGTAAAAAAACAAACAAAAACCCAAAAACCTATAGAACTTTAAGCTGTCATGCTGATGACTGCTTTAATTAGCTTATAACTTTAACACTTGAGTCAAATTTAGAGGGCCAAAAATACAACTGTTTGGAGGTTTGAGCAGTTACCTTTTGAACCCGAGAGAGAACTGCCCTGCTGTCTCCTCTTGGCATCACTGAGAATGTCAATGACCAGTGTGGCAAACTCATGGGCGTTGAACCGAGCTAACTTCTGTCTGCCCTAAAGGTGGGAAAACAATTGGAAATATTTCCCAGTGTAAAAATATATACATAAACAGTCACATAAAATTAGACAATTGACAGACTTCTGCAAAGACTTTCTTCTGGATGATCAAAGTACAGTTAATCCCAGCCATAATCAAACCAAGTTAATGCTTGTTTTCCATGTGAACAGTTTAAAACCATTTATATAACAGAACTTCATAATAAATGTTATGGCATTTCTCACATATGCATTGTTCTCACAACGCAGCTCTATTTGGTAAGCAAAAATAAAATGGTTCTACTGAATGCTTTTCTTCTATTATTGTTTCAGTTTGGAAGTAGACTCAGTAATTAATTTTGAGGGGAATTTTTAAATTTTAAGTTAAGGCCAGGCTCACACCTGTAATCCCAGAACTTTGGGAGGCTGAGGCGGGAGGATCACTTGAGGTCAGGACTTTGTACAAAAATTAGCCAGGCATGGTGATGGGTGCCTGTAATCCTAACTACTCGGGGAGGCTGAGGCAGGAGAATCGCTTGAGTCCGGGAGGTGGAGGTTGCAGTGAGCTGAGATGGTGCCACTGCACTCTAGCCTGGACGACAGAGCAAAACTCCGTCAAAAAAAAAAAAAAAAAAAAAATTTTTAAGTTAAACAAAGTCATAGATGTACCCTATCCTTATATATAGCTGCTAATCGTAAAGACTAAAACACCTTCCTAATTCATTCAACATTTCTCGTCTTGATAGATGTGTTGGCTGTTTTCAATGCTCTATTACATACAGCAGTGCTTTGATGAAAATCACTGTGCATAAATCTATTTTTATTTTATTAGAGCATATTCTCAAATGAGTAATTCCCATGTAAAAGGATGTACTTAATTCTGAGGCTTCCGAAACTGGTAAACAAATTGCTTTTCTAACATCTACAGCAATTTAAAGTTCTATCTGTTGCAAGAGAAAGCTCAGCTTACCATATCCTTACCAATCTGGAGTATCCTTTATTATGTATTTTATTAATTTGACTGATAAAACTTGCACTAATGCTTTTAGGTTGCTTTCTTAGATTACTGACAAGGTTAAACACTTCTTCACATGTGTAAAACATTTATATTTCTTCTGTGAATTGTTTCATATTCTTTCCTAGTCATTTATTTATAGTCTATTGTTTTTCTTATCATTTTGGGGGTTGTGTGTGTGTGTATGTATAAAGGATATTAAATTTTAATCAATCGAAAAATTTAGAATACTTGTCCTGGGAAAATGAAATACCATGACATCAGTCATTCCCCAACTACTATTCCTTTCCAAACAGAGTCACTTGCCTGGTTTCGTGTTGATGAGTACTCAGGATTGACCGGAAGAAAGGGGACGACCGTTGTCTCAGTTACCAGGGCGCTGTGGTTTTGCGTGGCAAGCCAGACTAGCCAGAGGAAAGAGCCAGAGACAAACCTTATCACACCTGTGTGTCACTGCTCCTGGGAGGCACAGCTCACGCATTACGAGGGGAAACACACTCTGAAGCCAACACACACAAAGGCAAATGTCGACACTCGCACCATCAGGACAGCAGAAATTGGGCTAGTAAAACACTGAGCCTGGCAGCTTTTCACTGCCCACTGATAACAGAAGCTTATTAGATAAAGCCACGTCAAGTCACCTGCATCCGTCTCTCGCCTGTCAACTTCGTCGTACACATCCATGGCAAGTTCTTCAAACAAACGATTACTTAGCTGAAAGTAAAAAATATCAGGAACACAAGGGACAACGATTAACACCAGGAGGACGAGAGGGAACTGCGACTTAGTCACCCTTTTATTGCCTATGTCTTATCCAATGCCAGTGCTTGGTACATACCCACTGTTAAACAGACGTAACATTTTCACAATCATACAGGGCCTCTAGAAATGTCTGCGAACCACAGCAATTTCACTACTTTATGACACAGACAGGGCTGATGCTATTAAGGAGCTAAGAGGCATCTAAAGTACATCATCTCAGAAGCAGTTTCCAGTTCTCTACTCTTCTTGTGATATCACCCTGTAAGCCTCCTTTTCTGCACTTAAAGAGTGTTTGTCAGTTCCCCAAAGTGTAAGCAATCCTATACCCTTGCAAAAATAGCCAGGCTCAGTGGTGCACACCTGTAATCTCAGCACTTTGCGAGACTGAGGCAGGTGGATTGCTTAAGCCCAGGAGTTCGAGACCAGTCTGGGTAACATGGTAAAACTCCACTTCTACAAAAAATACAAAAATTAGCTGGGTGTAGCGGTGCACGCTTATAGTGCCAGATACTCAGGAGGCTGAGGCAGGAGGATCACTTCAGCCCAGGAGGTCGAGGGTGCAGTGAGCCAAGATCGCACTACTGCACTCCAGGCTGGGTGACAGAGTAAGACCCTATCTCAAAAAAGAAAAAAGAAAAACAAAAGACATGCTGTTTTGAGAGGATAAAATGTGCCCTTGCACAAAAACATGACCCAGACCTCGGCTGAGTTTCTTTGCTCTCTTTCTCAGTAGCAGTCCTACTGTTTCAGTCTCCAGAAGGAAGCTTCCTAACAAAGCACAGCCTGACTCTTCAGCACACAACTGCCTCACGGCCTGCAGTGCCTCCCTGGGCACATGGAGGATAATTGATTTCTTCCTGGCCCAGATGAGGTTAAGCCCCTGCTAGGGTGGCTCCGCATCTCTGCACTTTATGCCTCATGAAAACACCTTGACACGTGGTAGTTGTGACTCTTAAACTGTCTGACATCTGCTTTGGGAGGACAGATGCTGAATCTCTTATATTCCCTATTGGGTTCCTTACATCCACACATGGTACCTCACACTTTAAGAGGGGCCAGAAAAGAGACATTGGCTGGCCAGAAGGTATTGAATGCAGCAATTTAAAATGCTGGCTACAGGCTGGGTGTGGTGGCTCATGCCTATAATCCCAACACTTTGGGAGGCAGACGCAGGAAGATCACTTGAGCCTGGGAGTTCAAGGCTGCAGTGAGCCATGATGGCACCACTGCACTCCAGCCTGGGTGACAGAGTGAGACCTTGTCTCGAAAAAAAGAGAAAAAACAAGTGCTGGTTACAGAGACCTCATAGGAACATGTTAAAATGGGTACAGTATATTATTAAGTGAAAAAAGCAGGTTAGAAACATCTATAATTATGATTAAGTTCCAGTTTTTTAAAAAGACATGCATATAAGAACTGAAAGAAATGTACCAAAATACTGAGCCTGACTCCATTAAGAGTGTGGCAATGAGGATGGTCCCCCTTCTCTATTTTTCAAATCTTCCCAAATGTGGTCACACTATAATTAAAAACAAACCCCAAGAGCCTGTTGCTAGGTAAGATGAAGGATTGGGAGCTTGACCTTGCTTCATAAATGTCCAGTTTCTTCCTCCATGGGACTACAAGCTAATGTTATCACTAGCAACAATTACAATGGCCAACTTATAACACCTCTATGAAAGCAGGAACTACTATTGTCCCACTTTTCAGACAAGGAAACTGAGGCAGAGAAGATAGTAGCTTGCCTAAAGTCACAAAGCTAGTAAGTGACGGACCTGAGATCCAAGTTTATATCTTTGAAAATGCTAACATTTACTCCTTCGAGGAATACATTAGCCTTTGTTATATTTCTCTCAGCTTTTCATCAGGAGGGAAGGAAGGAAAAGAGAAAGGAAAGAAAGGATGAAGGGAGGAAGAGAGGGAGGACAGGAGGAAGATACCGGAGGATAAACACTGACCTGGCACTGATAACATGGTCACCTGTGAGAAGGAGACCACAGGGTGAGGGTCAACAAGTAACAGTGGCAGCCCACTCTGAGCAGTTCTGGTCGGCAGCCCCTGCAGGATCCTTATCTCCCTTTTCTATGACAGTACGCCAAGGCACAGGGAGGCTAGGAAGCTTGGCAGGGCTAAGATATGTACTGACTAGTCTGACCCAAACCCCAGCTCTTGAGAGCTATACTAGACTCTGTTCCAGGTCTTTACTTCATGCCTGTCACATGCTAGAGATATTACAGGCATAATCTCAGCTTTCATGCAGCTTCCAGTGAAGCAAGTGTAGGATAGTCTAACAAAATGTGGGTTTTTATCTAAGTTTGAATTATTTATAATAAAATGTTTACAGATTGTGAGTAATTAAAAGGAAATCACACAATATTTAGTGCTGTCTGACTCCAAAGCTTATCATCCTGATCATCTTAGTCTATAACTTCCTTAAGGCAATAAAACACACAAACACACAAAACTGTAGATACAGAATACAGAGACACCAAACAAATTGCATAAAACACATTTATTTCATAATACAGTTAAATACTAGTAAGGATAAATTCATTTTATGTAATATTTAATACTGAGTATTATATGAAGTTTTAGTAAAGGGTCTTCTGTGAAAGTGGAAATGAGGAGAAAGTCATAAATTAGGGAAGCTGCAATGTCAGAGTTAGGCTTTGGGAAAGCCACTACCTACACTGGTCAGATTTCAGGTCCTTGAATGATCAGAGGGATGGAAGCTGGGAAAGGCAAACACTGCAGGTAGAGGAGGATTCCTGGAAGAGGACTTGAGTGCGCAGTTCATGGCCTCAGAGCATGTTAATCCACAAAGACACACAGACACATACACACACACACACACACACACACACACACACGGAACCAGATGGGAGGTAGGGCAATCTCTGAAAGGTGAGAGTTGAATGATGCCCTTATGGGTTACAGAAAGAAGTTAAGAATCTTGGTTCTGATCCAAAGAGCAATGGGAACAGCTGAGGAGTATACTTTGGTGGTTAAAGTAGCGAGAAGTACCCTGGTGAGGCTTCATGTGAAGGGACTAGACAAAGAGAAGTCAATCCCAGAGAAACAGATTTCTCTTGAGGCCTTGGGCCCTTAGGCCTTTCCTAAGGCTGAGGTGGGCAGTCTGGAAGAAAGATACAGGCTAAAGGGAGGCTGTGGTGCAGACCCGGCAAACTCTGAGCACACACGTGGGCCAAGACCACCAGCTTTTAACAGTGGAAATTTAAAAAGCGCTGATGAATGGCATGGGATGGTAGAGAGGGTTACAGTATGGCTGGATCCAAATGGCAGCGAGTGAATCTATGGGACTCGCTACCATTTCAGCATCAGCATTTACCATGTTCTAGAACCCTATGTGGCTAAGTCACCCCAGGAATGCGTGCCCTACTTACTCATGACGCTGAGAGGAACTAGGGAACTCTCCTGAGGAGAACAACTGCCTAATGCCAAAGGTGCCATCTGCACTTTTTACATGACAGAGAAAAACGAGATTATCTGAAGCAGAACCAATGAATTGAATATACTGAACTTAATAGTCCTTGTGGTCATCACTGCTGTATACTCAATTGTCTGGTTCTAATTTAACAAATAAAAGTATGAAATAAAGTCATCAGACGCAATAGGTAACCTGCATTGAGAGTAGGTATAAGCAGAGTGCACCGATTCTCATACTAGAGAAAACCAGTACAGAGAGATACTCACAGACTGAAGTTTCTTCTTAGCAGCTTTTGCCAATTCAGACAAATCCAGGCTGCTAAGAAAACATACAAAGCTAATAAGCAAATAAATAAAGCCAGATTTGTGAACTCTGTAAAGTTTAAGACACCCAAGAGATAAAAATATTAATTATAGTTCATGGACCATGTTAGAACCAAGCATTCTACAGACCGATAGTCAGTGAGGAGCTCTAAACAGAACAAGTCGGTGAAAGTAACTCCTTCTGAAATACCACAATCATATAAGTGTTAAAGAGAAAAAAAAAATTGTCCACCAACTAAACGACAAAAGCTATTGCCAGGTTACCTTCCAGGCCCTTATGTGAGTAGTCACAATTTTTGAAGCATTAAAAAAAAAGCATGATATAAGAAAATATGCCAAGCTCGATGGCTCACGCCTGTAATCCCAGCACTTTGGGAGGCAAAGGTGGGAGGATCACAAGGTCAGGGTTTTTTTTTTTTTTTTGAGATGGAGTCTCACTCTGTCACCCAGGCTGGAGTGCAATGGTGCAATCTCGGCTCACTGCAACCTCTGCCACCCGGGTTCAAGCAATTCTCCTGCCTCAGCCTCCAGAGTAACTGGGATTACAGGCACACACCACTGTGCCTGGCTAGTTTTTGTATTTTTAGTAGAGACAGGGTTTCACCATCTTGGCCAGGCTGGTCTCGAACTCCTAACCTCGTGATCGCTTTGGCCTCCCAAAGTGCTGGGATTACAGGTATGAGCCACCGTGCCCAGCGAGGTCAGGGGTTTGAGACCAGTCTGGCCAACATGGTGAAACCCCATCTCTACTAAAAATACAAAAATTAGCTGGGTGTGGTGGCACGCACTCGTAGTCCCAGCTACTCAGGAGGCGGAGGCAGGAGAATTGCTTGAACCTGGGAGGCGGAGGTTGCAGTAAGCCTAGACTGCACCACTGCACTCCAGTCTGGGCGACAGAGCAAGACTCCATCTCAAAAAAAAAAAGAAAAGAAAAGAAAAGAAAATACGAGGCTAGATGTAGTGGCTCGTACCTGTACGAGCACTTTGGGAGGCCAGGGCAGGTGGACTGCTTGAGTCCCAGAGTTTGAGACCAGCCTGGGTAACATAGCAAGACCCTGTCTCTACCAAAGCAAAAAAACAAAAAGGGAAGATGTAAAGGATCAGGATGGCAAGATTGTATCGGGAATAGCATTTAGTCATTTCATAAACTCTTGACAGGTTCTGTGCAAAGGTAATTTGCAAAACAAGGGTTTAAGGTTCATTCCTGTAGCAATGAACTCATCTGCAATTATAGATCAGGTGTCAGCAAAATTATGGCCTTTTTGTTCAATTGACCTAGGAATGGTTTTTACGTTTTAAAATGATTGAGGGGCAAAAAGAAAAAACAATCTTTCATAACGTGAAAACTATGTGAAATTCAAATTTCAGTGTCCAGAAATAAAATTTCACTGGAATAGACATACCCATTCATTTATACAGTGTCCACAGATGCTTTCATCTACAACAGTAGAGTTAAGCTGTTGTGAAAGGGGCCATATTGCCCACAAAACCTAAAATATTTCTTATTCGGCCCTTGAGAAGAAAAGTTTGCCAACCCCTGTCATAGATAATGTAATCTCTATAACACAGACGTATTCTATAAATAAATAAATAAATAAATAATACTGTCACAACTGGCTAAAACAGTGACAATATCACTGATTCCAATTTTCCTATTAGTAAAATTGCTACTTGTGCTCTTTGAAACTTAAGTTTTATATGGTGGTTTACTTACAGCCGTCTTATTTCCAAATGGTATAGCCATAAAAGAGAAAAATGTATGGGCTTTGTTAAACACAAAATATAACATACTTAAACATAACACAACCAAGGAAATATTAGTGATAGACAAAACTAACTGGTATTTCAATGGCCTTACCTGTCTGCCATTTGAGGTATTATAAAGTGCTGTCCATTTTTGTGATCTGAAACAGAAACCAAGTCAAAGTTTTGTTTATAGAAATGTTGATAAGATCTGTAAAGGAACACCACCATTATTTCCTCAAACTAAGTTTTGCAATCAGTATTTGTGCATAATTACGAGTCATGTTGCTAGACTGGCTAAAAATTCCTGAAGACTCAGCCATAGCAAGGCTTATAGCTTTGTTTTTTTTCTGGTACAAAGGTCCAGGCATCATTTAGCAGAAACCTATGCTCACCTCAATCCTTACGATTAGTTTGCCCTCAGTGTAACTGATGATCTTTGGCCATGGAAAGTGTGCTGAGGGAGCTGAATCAGCTCACAGCAGGCTTCCATCAGCCCACCGTGTGGGACAGTGGATGAGCTCTAGGCCTTGCTCAAATGAATCTATTAGTATAAAATAGTCAGGGCTGGGGCAGGTGGCCTTTGCAGATCCAGACAGGGACTCCATCTGCAAGGAAGCTTACTGACTCAGTCCTAGTCTAGCTTTTGGAGGACCCTGATCCATGTACCAATGAATAACGCCACTATCAGCATTCCTATGTAGGTTTTCCTTTAACATAAGTCTATCTTTTTTCTGGGTAAAGACTCAGGAGTAGAAATGCTGGGTTGTATGGTAAATGTATGTTTAACTTGGTAAGAAACTGCTAGACTTTTTCCCTTGAGTAGCACTATCACTTTGTTTTCCAAACAGCAATGTGTGAGAGTTATAGTTGCTTTCTGTCTTTCCCAGCATCTGTACTTTCAGTTTTTGTTTTGTTTTCAAAAGTTTAATCATTCTAATAGGTATGCTGTGGCACCTCATCGTGCTAATGAGTAACCATGCAGCGCTTGTCTTCATGTGATTTTTTTTTTTTTTTTTTTTTTTTGAGACGGAGTCTCGCTGTGTGGCCCAGGCTGGAATGCAGTGGCCGGATCTTCATGTGATTTTTTTTTTTTGCCATCCCATATCTTGTCTTTGTCCAGTTTTTATTGGGTTATTTTCTTACTGTTGTTTTAATTTTAATTAATTAATTAATTAATTTGAGACGGAGTTTCACTCGTTGCTCAGGCTGGAGTGCAATGGCGTGATCTCGGCTCACTGCAACCTCTGCCTCCCGGGTTCAAGCGATTCTTCTGCCTCAGCTTCCTGAGTAGCTGGGATTACAGGCATGCGCCACCACACCTGGCTAATTTTGTGTTTATTTTAGTAGAGACTGGGTTTCTCCATGTTGGTCAGGCTGGTCTCGAACTCCTGACCTCAGGTGATCTGCCTGCCTCAGCCTCCCAAAGTGCTGGGATTACAAGCGTGAGCCACCGTGCCCGGCCTATTTATTTATTTTGAGTCAGGGTCTCATTCTGCTCCCCATGGCTGGAGTGCAGTGGCGTGGATCTCGGCTCACTGGCAACCTCCACCTCCTGGGTTCGAGCGATTCTCATGTCTCAGCCACCTGAATAGCTAGGACTACAGTTGTGCACCACTACACCTGGCTAATTTTTTTATATTTTTAGTAGAAACAGGGTTTTGCCACGTTGCCTAGGCTAGTCTCAAACTCCTGGGCTCAAGCAAATATTACTCCTGGGCTCAATTTAAATATTCTTTAAATATTCTGAATATGAGTCATTTGCTGGATATGTGATTTCTAAATACCTGTATTTTCTTGCAGTCTATTGCCAGTCTTTTCACTTTCTTAACTGTAGTTTTCTCAGAACAAACATTTTCCTTTTTTCCTTTTTTTCTGAGATGGAGTTTCGCTCTTGTTGCCCAGGCTAGAGTGCAGTGGTGCAATATCGGCTCATTGCAACCTCTGCCTCCCAGGTTCAAGCGATTCTCCTGCCTCAGCCTCCCAAGTAGCTGGGATTATAGGCATGCGCCACCACGCCTGGCTAACTTTTTGTATTTAGTAGAGACGCGGTTTCACCATGTTGGTCAGGCTGGTCTTCAAGTCCTGACCTCTGGTGATCCACCCGCCTTGGCCTCCCAAAGTGTTGGGATTACAGGCGTGAGCCACTGCACCTGGCCAGAAATTTTCAATTTTGATGAAGTATAATTTATCAATATTTTCTTTTATGGATTGAGTTTTTGGTGTTATATTTAAGGATTTTTTTTCCCCCTTGCAGAGGCAACGTCTTGCTCTTGTCGCCCAGGCTGGAGTACAGTGGCATAGTCATAGCTCACTGCAGCCTCGACTTCCTGGGCTCAAGCGATCCTCCTACCTCGGCCTCCCAAAGTATTAGGATTATAGACGTGAGCCACCATACTCAGTTGATAGCTAAAAGCTTTAATCCAAGATCACAAAGATATTCTCTTATGTTTTCTTTTTTTTTTCTTTTTTTTTTTTGAGACGTGGTCTCACTCTGTTGCCCAGGCTGGAGTGCAGTGGTATGATCTCGGCTCACTATAACCTCCACTTCCTGGATTCAAGTGATTCTCCTGCTTTGGCCTCCTGAGTAGCTGGGACTACAGGCGTGCACCACCACGCCCAGCTAATGTCTGTATTTTTAGTAGAGATGGGGTTTCACTATGTTGGCCAGGCTAGTCTTGAATACCTGACCTCAGGTGATCCACCCGCCTTGACCTCCCAGAGTGCTGGGATTACAGGCATGAGCCACCGTGCCCGGACCTCTTACGTTTTCTTCTAGAAGTTTTTCAGTGTTAGGTTTTACATTTAGATCTATGATCCTTTCCAGTTTTGGGGTAAGGTGTGAGGTTTAGGTTGAAGTTCACTTTCCTGCACATGGCTGTCCGGTTGTCCCAATGCATTAAAAAAGACTATCCTGGGGCGGGTGCAGTGGCTCATGCCTGTAATCACAGCACTTTGGGAGGCCGACACAAGCGGATCACGAGGTCAGGCAATCAAGACCACCCTGACTAACACGGTGAAACTGTCTCTACTAAAATTACAAAAAATTACCTGGGTGTCGTAGCGTGAGCCTGTAGTCCCAGCTACTTGGGAGGCTGAGGCAGAAGAATCACTTGAACCCAGGAGGCCGAGGTTGCAGTGAGCCAAGATCCCACCACTGCACTCCAGCCTGGGTGACAGAGCGAGACTCTGTCTCAAAATAAAAGAAACAAAACAAAACAAATAAACTATCCTTCCTCCACCACTGAACTGATTACCTTTGCACTTTTGACAAAAATCAGTTGAACATATTTGTGTGGGTCTATTTCCGGATTCTCTATACTGTTTCAATGGCCTATATGTCTATCTCTTCGTCAGTATCACAGTCTTGAGAACTGTAGAGCTTCATAGCAATTCCAAAAAATTGAGTGGTGTACTTCCTCCCACATTATTCTTCTGCAAAATTGTCTGGGCTATTCTAGTTCCTTCGCCTTTCCATTTGAATTTTTAAATTATTATTATTATTATTCTTGGAGATGGAGTCTCACTCTGTCACCCAGGCTGGAGTGCAGTGGCACAATCATGGCTTACTGCAGCCTCAATCTCCTGGGTTCAGGTGATCTTCCCACCTCAGCCTCCCGAGTAGGTGAGACCACAGGCATGCACCACCACACATGGCTAATTTATTATTTGTAGAGATGAAGTCTCGCCATGCTGCCCAGACTAATCTTAAACTCCTGGGCTCACGTGGTCCTCCTGTCTTGGCCTCCCAAAGTGTTGGGATTACAGGCGTAAGCCACTATACCTGGCCTCCATTTGAATTTTAGAATCAGCATGTCTATGTCTATAAAAAATCCTCAATTGAAGTAAATTTATACATTAATTAACTTGTGGAGAATGGACATGTTACTGAGTCTTCATATCCATAAGCACAGTACATCTCTCCACTTACTCAGGTCTCCATTGACTTCTTTTATCAGCAGTTTTTGGCATATAGATACTATGTGTATTGTGCATTTTATTAGATTTATATCTAAGTACTTAATTTGGACCTTTTTTATTTTTTTGAGACAGAGTCTCGCTCTTTCACTCAGGCTGGAGTGTAGTGGTGAGATCTCAGGCACACTGCAACTTCCACCTCACAGGTTCAAGCGATTCTCCTGACTCAGCCTCCCGAATAGCTGGGACTACAGGTGCCCGCCACCATGCCCAGCTAATTTTTGTATTTTTCGTAGAGACAGGGCTTCCCCATGTTAACCAGGCTGGTATTGAACTCCTGACCTCAGGTGACCCACCCGCTTCAGCCTCCCAAAGTGCTGGGATTATAGGTGTGAGCCACCGTGCCCGGCCAATTTGGAGTTTTTATTACTGGTATTGTTTTTTAGATTCAGTTTCCAATTGTTCACTGCTAGTCTAAAGAAATATGATGGATTTTTGGCAGGGCGCCAAAGAGCCTGCTTGCTTTTGGCACAGCAAGACTCTGTCTCAAAAAAAGAAAAAAGAAAAAAAAGATGGATTTTTGACTGTTGACCTTGTATTCCTGCAATCTTGCTTAACTCAAGGTTCTGGAAACCTTTTTGTAGGTTCCTTGTGATTTTCTACATAGAAATAATCTCATTTGAATGGGGACAGTTTGATTTCTTCCTTTTCAATCTGTATGCCTTTTATTTATTTTTCTTTCCTCTTGGCACTGGTTAGGATTTCCAGTGTGATGTAGAAGAGAAATGGTAAGAGTGGACACCCTAGTCTTTCTCCCAATCTGAGAACAAACACAGTATTTCATCATTAAACAGATACTGTTTATCAGATCAAGGAAGTCTCATCTATTCCTAGTTTGCTAAGAGTTTTTTAAAACATGAATGGATGTTGAAGTTTGTTGAATGCTTCTTCTTCATCAACTGATATGATTATACAGTTTTTCTTTTTTACTCTTAAGATGATAGATAATTACATAAAGTGATTTTTTTTTTTTTTTGAGACACAGTCTCACTCTGTTGCCCAGGCTGGAGTGCAATGGTGCAATCTCAGCTCACTGCAACCTCTGCTTCCTAGGTTCTAAGCGATTCTCCTGCCTCAGCCTCCTGAGTAGCTACACACATGCACCACCACGCCCAGTTAATTTTGTATTTTTAGTAGAGATGGGGTTTCACCATGTTGGCCAGGCTAGTCTCAAACTCCCGAC